CATACATACACACACACATACATAGTGTGTGTTTATACCATTTAAAGGCAGTCATAAAATTAAATAAAAATATGAGCCTTCTCTGAAATTACGGTAGTTTGTATTTACATCAAGAACATCAATGTCATGTCAGGTCATTTCAAGTGTTTCATTGGTGGCACATAAAAAAAAAAACATGCATTTAGGGCAAAAATAAGATTGATTTTACCCCAAATAAATTTCTCATATTAGGCTATTTAATTGTGATGTGGACAAACAAGAAAAAATATTTTTGAACCTTAACTTTTGCTAACAAAATGAAATATTATGTAGCTGAGATTTATCTGTTTTCAGCTAATATCACTGTTTTGAGTAAAATAAATATTTGAACATCACAAACTACATTAACAATAAATAGAACTGCAAAAAAAAAAGAAAGAAAAATAAGAATATTAGATGCAAATGTGCAAAATTCTGAGGGTAATTTTTCCTTTTCTGGTTTGATTTGTAAGATCAAAGATAAACAGTAACCTGTTGAAGTGTAAAAATCAGTTTAAACAATGAATTTGTGTTGCGCATGCATATTCAAACAATGTAAAGAACCAATTTTAAACAGAATCTTAAGAAATGTTGCAACTGATAACTTGTTACAAAAAGGCAATTTTTCTGAAAATATTTTACCTTGATGCCTTTTCGATAAAGACGACTGTAGCGAGAGCTAAAGTGAAACCATTCCAAACCGCTTGCAAGATCCAGCAGGCATTTGCATCAGTGCGTTCTAATTTCAGTCTTGTTATTACGCATTATAAATGCAAGAATACTCCACGTTCCCAAAGTAAATAACTGTGAAATTGTCCCTATGGTACCTTCTTTGAGTCTTATGAAAAAGGTTCCCAGGAACAAGCATCAATTTTTCACCACGACTATTCCTATAGTGACGTACTTCTCCGTCAGTCACATTACCCTCTGAGCTTTTATGAAAAAGAAACAATACAGGATAATCAGATGTTTTTGTTTTTAATCAATGAACAAAGCATAAGCATGTTCAGACAGCACTCAACATTGTTTTAACACCATTAGAAAATTAATTTCAGAAATGTAAGATCATGCTGGGTTTTTTTTATTCAAATAGCAAATAAAAAAGCATTCATGCAGAAAATCCAATTTACACATGTAGATTTTTTCCAAAATACCTGTGCAGCTGTTTCATCCAATGTGCTGGAGGCCTCTGTGGTATCTTTGACAAAATAGTTGTCAATTATGTCGCTTTGTTTGTAGTCCTGGCAGCAAACTGAACACCTCATAACATTTACTGGAGACAGAAGAGAGAGGAAAAGGTCAGGTCAAAGGTCTGGTCTTCAAATTCAACCTGTGAAGTGAAATTACATTGATCTTTGAATAATAAAAAAAAAAAAAAAAAAAAAAGTCAAAACAGTAATTAGTCATCATCAAGGACAAGATATGTATGTAGACTAGTACCTGAAAAAAAAACTGCCTCACTCATAAAAAATAGTCTTACTTCATATAAAATAGGCTTTAAGCACTTACAAACAGCTCCTGTTTTAAATGTGCTCTATAAATAAAGTTGACTTTTTCTTCATTTTCATAATTTCCTGTTCCTTCAGTAAGTTCCTTTTATTAAAAAAAAAGAGCTTTGCACAGTGGGAAATCCATGGCTATTCATAAGGGTTAATTGACTTACGTTCAGTCTCCAGAAAATTCAATCGCATCATACTCTGCATTTTTATTAAAATATTAGATCAGAGCCACGCAATAATGGCTGCTTCACCTGATCACTTTAACTCTCTAAACTGAATTAGTTATTGATTTAGTCATTGACGCCAACAAATAACTAGTTCAGCGGATTAACTTTACCAATTAAATCCAATAATGGTCACAACAATTAAGTTAAAAAGATATGAAGCTTTGCTCTGCCTCATAAATTCACAAGCCCCCAGACGGTAATAAAAAACCCAGACATCTGGGGGTAAAAACCAGTTCAAGCCAGTTTGAACCGGTGTGCACTGACTTGAGCAGCACAAGGCCGGTTTGTGTTAGTTCCAGCTGCCTGGGTCTCCTCTGTGTGATTGGTTGTGGAAACAGCTGGACGGGGATTGTGCTCAGGAACCCCCCTCCCCCAACAACAACCAAAAAAAACACAAACATTTAACACAGCTGTCACTTTGAAAGGAAGCATCTCGTACACTGTTCATGACCGTAGGCAATACACACATTCACAATTACAAATATAAATAAATAAAAACAAAATGCATAAATAAGTTTTTTGTGAAGTATAAGATAAATGTCACACTGTTTGGACCAAGATAAGATCCATCTTATGTAGAGGTGAAAAATATTACATCTCAGCTGTTTATTACTGCTGCCATCATTTTATTGTGACAGTATGCAAACTTGTGCATTAAGTGATTTTTTTTTAATCATACAACTCAATATTCAGAGGATACAAACAAGATAAATAAAACACGTTTATCCCAGCTGAAATTACAAATATCTATTTCTGATTAGAAATGAATCAATTACATTGCCAAAGTATATATTTTTTGTTTCAATGTTCATAAATGTGGTATATTTTCTAAAACCTCATAAGTCAATAAATAAAACAGGATATTTAACAGATAAAGATGAGAATATTTGGCATTTTGTCCATACGGCAGTCGTTCCAATAGGTGACGCAAATAAAATGAAAACAAATTTCTGAGTCAATAATAAGAAAACATTGTTAATGGGTTAATTATTAGTATTATTAATTAATATTCTATTAATTAATAATGGGAACACTTTATTTGAAGGCGTGTGCATAAGACTGACATGACACTGTCATGAACGAGTCTTTATGAATGTTTGACTGTTGTCATCAAGTGTCATTCTGTAAATTAGGACACCTTAAAGTTGACATTGTTTAAAATGTCAAATTGTCATAACAAAGATGCTTTTTTTATCTTGGTTAATGTCAAGTTGTCATAAACAATAATTAATAATCTACTAATAAAAATTCTGAGCCAGTAAGCGATTAAGTAATTTGTAATCTATTTAGCCAAGTCACATTAATGATTTGTTCAAAACTGGTTAATAAAAAAACAATATGGACTTGATTGTTCAGGAGGATATGGTTAATTAATCATTCTGTGGTATAAGTATCGTAGAAAGACAAAAGTTTTGTTTATTAGTTTACTGACCACAAACAAGTGCTGCAAGAACCCAGCATCCAAAGCTGTAGCTAACAATTCAAGTATTCATTTACTAATCTCATATACTAAAATATAAAGATAAAAACAAATAGTGTGAGCTGTCATAAAGAAACTGAAATCTGAAGGATAAAGCTGAGCTTTCATTTGGTCAACTGACTTTTAAGAGACAACTTATGTGGGTGGGTGCAGTTTCTTTTTTTTAATAGCACAAAATAAACTTAGTAATAGATGCTGGTTTCAAACTCAATTATGTTTTTACACCAAAATAAAAGATGAAGGCTTTGGTTTAGATTTAGGTTAAATTCACTCTTGGTTTAAATCGAAAGCACCATTTATTCTGCTGTTGACTCAAGACTTTTTTGTAAAATTAACTGGTAAATCATCCATTATCTTTTACCCGCTTCTTTCATTTTGGGTCACGGGGGTCGCCCATGTCCAGCAATCACTGTGCGAGGGGCGGGGTACACCCTGAACAGGTCTCCAGTCCATCACAGGGACACAGAGACAAACGAGACAAACAACCATTCACTCTCTCACTCACCTAGGGACAATTTAGAGTTACCAATCAGCCTATTCATGTTTTCCAAAAATGTACCAGCATATTTTACGAATAGGACAGGTGGCACATTTTCAAGGCAGTAAGACACATTTTTGTATAAACCGTGTTATAATTTTTTTAGCGTTGCAAAAAAAACCCCATCAGATTAAAATACTGCGCTATAGTACAGAAGATATTCTTAGTGCAAGATTATTCCACGATTTTAAAAAATGATTAAACATACAGGAAAAAGTAATTTATATAAACCAAGTTTAAACTCTAGCAAGTGCTGGACGAATCTTTAATATCTGTGAATTTAAGAATTAGTTTCAGTTCTCTGGCGTTTAATTACCATAAAAAAGGGGCTCTTGGTTTTATCACGACTAAATCGGAATACTGTATTTTACTGTCTGCTGTACTGAATGATGCAGAGCCTTTTTGTTCACCGTGGCATTTGTTATTCAATTCAATTCAGTTTATTTGTATAGCGCCACAAAAGAGAAGTCATCTCAGGGCACTGAACAGAAACATTTATATATAAAAATAATGTTAACAGAAATGTTCATATGTAAAAATAATAATTTAACATTATTTAGCTGATCTGTTATAACCATACTGTCACAGTAAGTGCAGCAACATTCCTTATAATTTATTCTGTCACTATGGTGATAGTGACAAACCCTTTTTTTTTGTAGGAAACTGGATAATCTCTAATGAGCCACCTGTGTGAAATCCAATACTGTAGCTTGAAATTAATCTCTATGGTAATCGATAGTCATCATCACATGTGCTTTGAGGTATACAGTCAATTGCTGGTTTACCCCACACAACAGATGAAGCCATCGGATCCAGTAGAAAGTCCAATCTAAACCGAGCTTACATCAGGACTAGTCTGACAGGTGATACTGCATAGGCCTGACACATTCACACTCACCTATGTGCGTGTCAGTTTGCCCGTGTGGTCCAGGCACCTGCACGCTGATCTGCCTGTCTGGTTGCGGGATACATTTCAGGCAAAAGGAGTGCAGACAAGGCAGAAGTTTCGGTTCACAGTCTCGACTCTGCAGACTTTGTTTACACACTGCGCACGTATCCAGTAGATTAATGGGAGTGGATACCGGTGTGGCGGCCGCTGGAGCAGAAGGAGGGCGAGACGTTTCAGTTGTAGATCCGCCAGCTGAAGCGTCCACGGCGGGAAGGGTTTCAGCTGTCGCTGGTGTGGCTGGCTCCGCATTGGTGCTGCCTGTTGTTTCGGCCGCCGGGCTCCCGTTGGATTCTCCCGCCGCAGCAGCGGTAGCAGGCTCGCTGTTGCTAACGTCCACTGCTTCACTACCAGTGCTGGGCGGGGGTTCTTCGTTAGCCTTATCGGGAGGTTCAGTTTCTGCGTCTCCTTTTGTTTCCGCTTCTATAACCACTACCGTATTTTCCGTTTTTGTATCCGTCGGCTCGGTAGCTGGCGCCGAAGGCGCTGTGTCCGTGTTAGCTGGCGGTTCCATATCTTCCTCGCCTTTGTTGTCCGCCATCTTCCTTCCTCTTAGAACCGCTGCACGTACTGCGTAAGTTCTCGAAACAGGCGTACGTGTGCTGACGTAATGACGTCGAAAGCGCCCTATGTATCTATCTATCTATCTATCTATCTATCTATCTATCTATCTATCTGAAACATTTTGCCAAATTAAAGGCTGAACTCTCCTAATTTGCTTGGTTTGTAGATAAACGAACAATAAACTCAATCTCAAAGAAAAACCACATGATTTTACCATGTTTTTCACGTGTGACCACTTGTGACCACATAAACATTTTGAAATTGCTCCAAAACTATGTTTCCAATCATGTGCAATATCAAAGTAACAGTTTGACACACAAAATAGTATTTCTATTGCACCAAAGGAATTTCTATAGCTGAAAATTGTTCCTACGCAGTAATGATCAGTTTCAGAATGATGCTTTATCAGATCCTGTTTTTGTTGGAATACCCTCATCCCAATTAAAGACGTGACTTTTATATGTACTGCGCTCAGCTGCTGTAAATTGATTTTGGTCTGACATTTTTTTTGTTGTTTTCACTTAATTTTTTTAAGTGCATATATGCACAGTTTTTTTTTTCTTTTAGCTGCTCCCTTTAGTGCCAAAAATATATTTAGGTGTCTATGTAAAGTGTGTATGTATCGTGCTGTGTATATGTAAAGTGATATGTTAGGTGCATGTCAGTTCAATTCAGTTTATTTATATAGCGCCAAGTCACAACAGAAGTCATCTCAGGGCAATGAACAAAACATGAATATATAAATTAATAAGTTAACAGAAACATTTGTATATAAAAATAATAATTTGACATTATTTATCTGAGGAGCAGGCTGCTTTGAGTCTAACTCCATCGCAGAACAGCGAAGCATGAAGGCGACGGTAGAAAGGAAAAACTCCCTCATGAGGAAGAAACCTTTAGCAAAACCAGGCTCAGGACAAGCGACCATCTGTTTCGACCGGCTGAGTTTGGTAGGAACAGATACACAATGGCAGGTCAAGAATCACATGTTAAGATAAAAATAGTATCAAATAAATATTATTTAATTTTAATAATTCATTTAAGGAAATGAGGTCAATTTGTCCTCTAGGAATCTAAGCTTAAGGCAGTATAACAAGCCAACCCTAATTATAGGATTTATCAAAAAGGAAAGTTTTAAACCCAGTCTTAAAACTGGACAATGTGTCAGACAGAAACTGGAAGTTGGTTCCACAAGAGAGGAGCCTGATAACTGAAAGATCTTCCTCCCATTCTGCTTTTGGAAACTCTAGGGACCGCGAGATATCCTGAAACCTGAGAGCGAAGTGCTCTGTTAGGAAAATATGAAACAACAAGATCTCGAATATAAGATGGAGCTAGGTTGTTGAGAGCTTTGTAGGTTAGAAGTAAGATTTTGAATTCAATTCTGGACTTGACAGGGAGCCAATGGAGAGAAACTATAATATACTAACTCCAGTTAAGACTCTGGCATATGTATGTAAGGTGATATGTAAAGTGATATGTAAGGTGATATGGAACCTCATACCATCTAGGGCGTCGGGGGAGCAGATGGTGAGGGTTAAGGGCCTTGCTCAAGGGCACAGAGTACGGCGAATGAGGGTGGAGGCAGGTGTGGGTGCTTCAGGTGTTATAATCATACACAAGAAATAAAGAAAAAATAGTAGGAAAAGAAGCCCAATTCCTAAGAAAAGCCTATTTAATAGTGCCATAACTACTAACCAAGACCACTTTATTATATTTCTCAAGAATGTGAATTTTCATGGAAAGAAGGTATAACAAATGGTTTAAAACTTTTGCACAGTAATGCATATAGATTGAAAACATATAAAAACTACTACTTAATTTTTCAACAGAAGTAATAAATTAATAAACTAATTAAACCGTGCCAATTAAAAGTTTGCAAGATCCGTACTCAAGTATTCATGATTTTATTTTGAAATTTATCACCGGAAATGCTTGAATTTTGCTTCCCGGTAGCCGTAGGGTTTGAGTTTGTCAGTCAGTTGTAACGCAACAGATTTAACCATTAATTGATTTAAATGGCCGGGACGGCCTCAGTAGCTGGTGAAGTGTTTGTGGATGCTTTACCGTATTTTGACCAAGGGTACGATGCTGCAGGCGTCAGAGAAGCAGTGAGTATCGGATCATTTGTCCCCAACCGAAACATGTTAGCCGAGCATGCTAACATTAGCATGGAGTGGAGCGTTGTGATGTGATGTTTAACGATGGAAATAGGCTCTTTTTATATTTAAATCTAATAATTCTAGGTTACAATTGTCACTGAACCAAGCTAATGAATTTGAATGTTATATTCACATTTGTTAGAAGTTTGTTAGTATCTTTTAAAGCATTGTTTAATTATTACATATATTTTTATATGTTCACTAAAAGAAAACGACAAACTGCATTTTAGACAACTGTCATACATAAATGTTGTAGTTGTACTTTGTTTTCATGATACTAAGGTTTTTCTTTGGGTCGTTTTTGTCTTGATGTTGCTCCTCACCTTTTATTTTAAATTAAATATTAATTATTGCCAAGAAACAATTGAGCATTTGAGAGTTAGAGATTTGTTCCTTGAAATGTGACAACTGTGACAAAATTAATTTGACCTTCCTGTTTAAAAATATCCAGAACCTGATTGATCTTTTTTTTTTTTTTACTTGGCAGAATCTCAGAAATCCAAGTTGGATATGAATGCTGTTTTAGTTTTGTTTTTCTTTCCTTAATTTGCTTTGGTAATTTAATTTCTGATTCTGTGGGGCTTTTTTAAAAACATCTTTGTCATTTAATCTTTACCTTTTAATTCAACGTATAGAATGTTATTTTTTTTTCAGAAGTTACAATAGTCCTGTTTAACTTTTTAGGCTGCGGCGTTGGTTGAGGAAGAGACCAGGAGGTACAGACCCACAAAGAACTACCTGAGCTACCTTCCTACACCTGACTTCTCTGCTTTTGAGGTGAAAAAGTCGTTTTAAAAAAAAAACCTGAGGTCCTTATGATTTTCAGACTGAACACAATTAACAGCACTCTTCTCCACCCTTCAGACAGAAATTATGAGGAATGAATTTGACAGGTTAGGAGCTCGTCAGCCGCTTGAACTTCTGAGCATGAAAAGGTAAAACCTGCTGTTGCAGCAGCCTGGTGGAGTTGTCATGTAACATGTTCTTTTCCCCTGTTTGAGCTAGAATCTTCTGAGCTTCTAGAGATACAATAAGCATTGTCAACACAATAAAAGCACTATACAGTATAATATATATGCATATGTAATCAGTAATTTAAAAAAAACTTGAATACAATATTGCCGTTGCAATTTTAGTTTTCGTCTTTACCCGCTTCCTCATTTCTGGGTCGTTGGGGTCACTGGTGCTCATGACCAGCAGTAAATGTGCGAGAAGCTGGGCACATCTGATTACTTGAAATAAAAATATATGGGACATCTTTTTTACTTAAATTAATCTTTCTAGCTTTTGGGAAACAAACAAGTTTTATATTTACTTGATTTATATTGAAAACATTACACAATAAATGCTTGAAATCATTAGTTTAAAACACGCATGCTTGAAAATTTCACTGAATGGGAATTTATTTTTTAAATTAAAACAAATTCAAATTATTATTTTTTAGCAAACAAACTTAAAAGACCATATGACTATTAGGTAGAATCTACCATATCATCTTGACATAAATGTTACAACGGCTTACATCAAGATGAATATTAGATGGTTTTTTAAATTATTTTAACTTTTTTTTTCAGTTTCTAAACAACGATTACTTTATTTAAACATTTTTCCTCCTGTGTGAAGGTATGAGTTGCCAGCGCCTTCATCAGGACAGAAGAACGACATTACAGCGTGGCAGGAGTGTGTGAACAACTCGATGGCTCAGCTGGAGCACCAGGCGGTCCGAATTGAGAACCTGGAGCTCATGTCGCAGTATGGAACCAATGCATGGAAAGTCTATAACGAGTAAGTGACAGCAGCCTTTTCTTAAATTATTAACTAGGGCTGTCCCGATCGAATTGGCGTACTGATCGAGATGTTTTTTATGGATCAGTATTGGGAGTGGTGGGCACTCGCAGCTCCCGAACCAATATTGTCTCAGGTTTTATAATGTGTCAGCCAGGCATTGTAGTATTGTAATATGATACCTGCTGTGGTGTACAGGCCTGGAAATTAAAGGTACCCGAGCTCCAATTGCAATTTTTTTCTGCAGTTGGACAGTAAATGATTTGCTAACAAACCACCCAGCCAGCACCAGACATTTAATGTGGAGACCACAGGTATTATAACAGTCACATGCACTGATGCAGAGTCAAAGAAAACAGCACTAATTTATTAATCAGGTCAGTTATCGTCAAATAATCCAGTCATACACGACTTGATTACTAACTTGTTGGGCTGAACAAACAGTAGCTGAACAGAAGAGGCAGGGAAAAAATTTTGTGGCCACAGAGCCAAACCATTTTTCTGAAAAAAAAAAAAAAAAAGATCACTTTCCTCCAGTGGAACATTTTCTAATGATTGTGCACATGCAATCTTTTTTTTTTTTTTCCACATGCCATCTTCATCTGTTAGCAGTGTTAGCGTCATCACTGCTAGCAGCGCAGTATGGCATTGTGCTTTTAAAGCAGCACCATCTGACGCTTAATCGTAAGCATTACACTGACATGTAGATGGACTCGTATCACTCAGGAGGAACACTGTGAGGATCATTCAGTCTGCCTGAAAGAGGAACTATTCCCAACTTTGTCTGTGGTTGTTAGGAAACACGTCTACATCCGCATTTCAACGTGCAAAATACTGGTAATGCAAGTTCCACATAGCCATTTCTTTTTGGCTAACCTCTTTGAATAGCTTCATGCACTTCATTATGTTTAATATACCATATTGTTTTACATTATTAGTGTTTAGCATATATCTTGGTGTATATCTTAGATCCTTATATACTGTTTCTTTTTATACTTTATATTTTTGCTATTTTTGGGTGTAACTGGGACTTTTGAGTACACAATTTCGTTCCACCTCAGTTACCACGTGATGCGAACGACAATAAACTTGAACTTGACATTTCCTGATCCTTACTTAAAAATTGCTTAAATTGTTATTGGCATTAAAAAGAAATCTTGATCGGGGCATCCCTAATATTAACTCCATGTATGAGCTGAAGACTGACTCCGTTTTATTCTGCTTGCACAGTAATTTGGCTTTTATGATTGAGATGGCTCAGAAGGAACTTCACAAATTCAGGTAAAATGATGGCCATGTTTCATGTTAAAGGGCTTTATAAAATAAAATAAAAAGTTGTCACACCTGTGAGTCTAATCATTGTTTTGGTACACAGAAAGCAAATCCAGGACTTGAACTGGCAACGTAAGAACGATCAGTTGGCAGCAGGAGCCAAACTGCGAGAGCTGGAGTCCAAGTATGTCATTTGAAGTTATGTATGTTCATTTTACTAAATGCTCATTTGGTTTCTAGTCGTCTCAACATCTGTATTTGTTCCTTGTCAGCTGGGTGTCACTTGTGAGTAAAAACTACGAGATCGAACGGGCCATCGTCCAACTGGAAAACGAAGTCACTCAGCTCCGACAACAGCAGGGCGACGAAAACAAGGAGAACATTCGGCAGGACTTCTAACACATCAGGAGGTTTTCACCCTCAGCGCTGAAGTCAAACAATCCCTAAGTGAGACGGATTACCATTTGTTTGGACTAAAAACCAGTCTGAGCAGGACAACTTTTATTTTACAGAAAATATAGCACTGGCTTATCTAGTTACCATGACGTTCATAATGAGCGGTCCACAAAACGTTAATTAAACCACGTTTTTAAAACTACACCCACAGTAATGACATAACTCACCCATAATACAAGTTTTTTCTTTCCCTGCAGTCTCAATGATGGGTTATGTTTGGTAAGTTTAACTTATTATACCAGTCTACAGGTGGCTATTGATAAAACTGAGTCAGTATTCTGGCTTCTATGTTACCAATACACTGGCAACAGTAGTGAACATTTCATAGAAACCTCATGAGTTTTGCTGTTTAATGTTTCAGCCTGCAGGTTTTCATAGTTGCCTTTCAGTAAAGTGGTGTTTAGAAGAGTACATAATTTGTCAAATTTGAATACAAAAATGTTTCTGATCCTACAATATCTTCATTTCCTGTTATTTTTTTAAAGGATATTTGTAATAAAAGGAACTTTTATAATTTTTTTATTGTCATTTGAAGTTTTTTTTATATAATTCTCAGCTTTATTTAAACTTGTAGTCAAAACTATGAGGATGGAAACGTGTCAGTAGACAGAGGGAGAAGAGGAAAGTCAAGAAAGTAGGACCGAGGGTTGCAATATATGACCTTCTGAGTAGGTCAACATCCATCCATCCATTATCTTTACCCGCTTATTCCATTTTGGGTCACGGGGGTCACTGGTGCCCATGTCCAGCAATCACTGTGCGAGGGGCGGGGGACACCCTGGACAGGTCTCGAGTCCATCACAGGGCGACAGACAAACGAGACAAACAACCATTCACTCTCTCACTCACACTTAGGGACAATTTTAGGGTTACCAATCAGCCTAACATGCATGTTTTTGGTCTGTGGGAGGAAACCGGAGCACCTGGAGAAAACCCACGCATGCACTGAGAGAACATGCAAACTCCACCCAGAAAGGCCCCTGGACCCGGGTTTGAACCAGGGACCTGCTCGCTGAGAGGCAGCAGCTCTACCAGTTGTGCCACCGTGCTGCCCCGAGTAGGTCAACATATATTACGTAATGTATCTGTTCAGTCAGTACTGTGCACAAAGTCCTGAGTCCCCCCCCCCCCCAGTTCTTTTTAAAGAGACCGACTTTGATTTGTAACTTTGTCTTTTTCAACATTCTCCAAGATTTTTAAAGGTAATTCAAAAACAATCACCTCATTGTCTTTGTTACATTTAGTTTTGATTTGTCACTTTTGGCATCATTTAATTCATTACTCATAATTAATGCAGTTGCCTCTCGCTGTTCATTTTATCAGTTGTCACGTACATCCAATAATTAAATTCAGCTAACACAGAGTTGACTCAAAAAGTTAATAGTAAAATTTTAAATTTCATTTGCATCTTTTAGTTCTCAGAATGTGTGTTGGGGATCACTCTCAGCTGCCACGCCACCAAATTTTAAATCAATATCTGTAAAATTAACCGTCATAATCATTTATGTGATTTTTTTTAAAGTCAGTTGGCTATGGCAGCCATCTGGAACCAGGTTACCTCCAAAAGTACACAATGAAACTTATTAACTGAAAGTTTCATTCAGATTTGTTCAGTGGCTTATGATATGTTGCTGACACACACACACACACACACAGGCAAAAACCATTATTACACACCTTTTGGCTTAGTTGATCTATTTTTACACCCCCCACATTCTTTAACACTATTTTGTGCAGTATATGTAAAAAAATAATTTTTTTCCTGTACTCAAAACAAAGAAAAACATTGACAAAGAACAAAATGCTTACAGTATATTTAGTATATAAACACATTTCTACAGAAACTGGCTTTTACACATTTTAATCCAATCCTGGTACCCCATTATTTTCAGAAAGAAAAAAGTATTTGTGGAACAAAAGTTTAAACCAAGTAACTTAAAAACAGCTTGCACTTTAAAAAAATAACCTTTAAAATTGTATTATTTGTTACTTTATTAGCAGCCTGTAATAAAAAGTAGCATATTTTCTATTTATTTAATTGCATCTACAAATGCGTCAACTCGTTAGATACCAGTGGTAAGTTATGCGTAAAAATGTATTTTGTGAAGCGACTGAATTATTGCCAGGAAATGCTCATTATTTCAGACTTGGATGGATGTGTGATTGATTTGATAGAAATACTGAAAAGCAGAAAAAGTCTGGAAATTATATTAGACTCTTACAGTAAAAGTACATAAACTACAATTGAACATATTACACTACAAAAACAAGAGAATGTTTATTTTGAATTATTCCCACATTCCTTAAACATTACAATCATTTTCCTCATTTAATCACCGACAGGACCTGAATGAACATCAACCCAATCTGTGGCCGATCTAAAGGCCTGGATGAAGACGATTAGCTGCAGGGAAAGGCAGCGAAGAAGGTAGACCAGGTCTGAGGTCTTGCAGACAAAAACTCAGGAATGAACTTGATCAATACCCCAACAGAAACAGACACGCTCCGTCACACCAACTTTCACACATCTCGCACACGTTTGCAGGCACCTTTATACTTTTAGCAAAGAAGTAGGGTTTTCTTTAGGAAAAGGTTTCCGTTGTGATATAGTCATTTAATTCCACTATGTGCAAAACTGGGCAGCCATCGGTAGCTGAAGTAGCAGGAGAGGGACGTGGAGGGGGGGGATTTTTGGCCACGCCCCAGTCTATATACTGAGAGTATTGAGAGCTGGTACTAAAGTCACAGCCTCTTGCAGGTTCTGGTTCTGGTCCTGGCCTCCTTTACTCTGAAACTTCTGCCGATGCCGCTCCTCTTGACGCTTCTTCTTTTCGTGCCGCTGCTGCTCTTTCTTCTGCTTGTTTGACAGCTGGGTAGGACAGAAACAAAAACTTTTTAAATCTACTCCTATGTATTCCCCCCCGAGATGAGTTTTATTTTGTATAAATGCCAATTCTTAAGAGTTAAAAAAAGGCAACTGGACTTATTTTCTTTTTGTTGAAAACGTTTTGCTTTTCATCCGAGAGGCTTTTTTCTCAGTCCAAACTGGAATGTGCATTTACAAAGCTGTGAAATGCTCCGTTTATGCGATCTGAAATTGCATGCGGATTAATCCTGCTCTCCTCCCCCCGGAGGGTTGTTAGGAAATCGACATAGAAGTTGAAGCCAGAGTGGGAAAGGCGTCCCCCCCAGAATGGTCCCAGGTCAAGTATTAAGTCCTGCACCTTTGACGTAAATGAGTGGGACATCTCAGATCATCAGGTGTCGACTCTTGTTGATTAACTTCTCATTTTGCTGCTGTATATTGAACTATTATTATTTTCTAATAAATTTAACTCCAATCAGTTCTTTAATGCTTAAGATCATGTGACACCAACAAGATTGTGTTTGGGGGAGTGAGCGCGACTTAAAGCTCCAGAGTGCAGACTCTAGTATTAAATATACAATTATAGTACTCTAGTATTAAATATAGAATTATAGTACTCTAGTATTAAGTATTTCACCACATATGTTTATGGTCCTCAAGAGAAAAGTTTTGGTGACATGCATGAAAATGGGAATTGGTGTGAAACTGGCCAGGGGTCAGATCCAAAGTGGTTTTGTAGGTTCTGGAAAGCTGACACCTGAGGACTCCTTCCTTGTTTAAAGTTGTTGTTTGTTTGAGTACCATTTGATGTATGGATTTTTTTCCACCACCACTCTCAAACCCATCTCACGCAGTTTAAAGCTTTGTGACCCAGCTCGTTCCAGTGCAGTAGAAAGTCTCTCAAACTGGAAGCAAAGCGTCTTCAAAAACAAAAAAAAAAAGTTAACTTGTCTTTATTTAAACTCACTCTTTCTGTTTGACATTGAGATGACAGAGAATCTACACAAACACATTGCAGTGCATTTTCCCCCCCCAACAGTGTCGTGTGTATATTTCACCTTGGGTTTTTGTGCATTTCTGCCCTCTGCTGTCTGCTTCTGCTCACTGCAGACTGAGCAGGATCCCGACGTGCAGGTGCCCTGGCAGGACTGACCAAGCAAAGACTCAGCGAGCCACTCCGCATTGATTGTTGCTGCACTCAGCTGGAGCAAGTTCTCCTCATCACCTGAGACACAAAAAACACACAGCGAACACGTCGCCTGAATCAGTCAGCGTGGTCAGCGTGGTCGTATGTAACGGACCATCTACTTATCAACAGGCATGTTTATGAGTTTGATTAGGAACATTGATCTGGCAAGACGAGCCTTAAGATATGTTACAACTGATCAAGTAATCTTATCTCCTGACCCTGAATTCCTCGATTCTTGATGGAGCTCAGGATTACGTTTTCCTCTTCGTATGCTGTTTGAGACTTTTTCTGTCTGTCCCTCTGACCATCTCCAAACTCACGCTGATGGCTGTGTGAATTCTGCAGGCTCTGAAACAGCACAGACATCTCAGTTAATACTCTCTCTGTGCAGGTACAGTTGGAAAAAAAAAAAATCATAACACCAATAAAAGTTATACATTGCTTTGTCAAAAAAAAAGTTGCCACCCAAAAAGAAAAGGTCACACTAATATTTTATTGGATCATCTTTAGCTTTGATTACATCATGCATTCACTGTGGCGTTGTTTCGATAAGCTTCTGTAATGTCACAAGATCTATTTCCATCCAGTGTTGCATTAATTTTTCACCAAGATCTTGCATTGATAACTAGGCACTAGGCATGATGGGTGCATCACTTCACCTGCCGCTCTTCTTACCCTGATGCGCCCATCACTCTGGAACTGGGTCAGTCTGGACTCATCAGACCACATGACCTTCTTCCATTGCTCCAGAGTCCAATCTTTATGCTCCCTAGCAAACTGAAGCCTTTTTTTCCGGTTAGTTTCACTGATTAGTGGTTTTCTTAAGGCTACACAGCTGTTCAGTCCCAATCCCCTGAGTTCTCTTCACTTTGTGCGTGTGGAAATGCTCTTTCTTTCACTATTAAACACAGCCCTGAGTGCTACTGTTGTTTTTCTTCCATTTGATTTCACCAAACGTTTAAGTGATCGCTGATCACCATCATTCAGGATTTTTTTCCGGCCACATTTCTTCCTCGAAGACGACGGGTCCCCACTATCCTTCCAGTTTTTAATAATGCATTGGACAGTTCTTAACCCAGTTTTAGTCGTTTCTGCAATCTCCTTGGATGTTTTCTCTGCTTGATGCCAATGATTTGACCCTTCTCAAACAGACTGGCATCTTTTCCACGACCACGCCATGTGTCGTTTGACATGGTTGTTTAAGAAATGAGAAGCAACTCATTGCACCAGTTGGGGTTAAATAACTTGTTGCCAGCTGAAAGATAAATCGCCCAGGCAGTAATTATCCAATAGGAGGCTCGTACCTATTTGCTTAGTTAAATCCAGGTGGCAACTTTTTTTGGGCCAAGCAGTACATGTTGCTGAGAGATAAATATTATTTAAGACTTCTAGGTCTAATGGCTAATCTCTCCTACATATTGGTCTAATAAATACTACTTGTGTTTTCTCCACCAGTAGTTTCCAAAGCCAGAGTTAAAAATCCCTGTTGGTTATGTTACGAAACACTGTGAGCCTGAAATGACTTCTATAAATCAAGTGAAAGCTAAATTACCTGTGGCATATTTTATTATTTATAATTAAAAAACAGATTAAAAGAGAGGTGTTTCATGGGTAAAACTTAAATAGAGTCTATTTGTGTCCTGATGCATGCTCAATAAACCAGGTAGAAAAATCTAACGAGGTTAAGTCAGGTCAGATTCTTCTTTGTTCATCAAAGAAGAATCTGACCTGACTTAACCTTGTTAGAGTCTAGTTGTGTTGTCATTATGCCTTTGTTTAAATGATTTTAGCTGTTTGTATTGAGTCAGAAGTGGAAAAGTTTAAGAAGCTCTTTTGCGTACCTCTATGCGAAGCTGAGCAGGACTCTCGGAGTTGTCTCCAATCCGCCTCACACTATCGTAATGATCTCCATAACGGTAGGCAATGTGCAACTCTCTGCACATGGGCTTCTCTGCACCATTTATCTATGGAGACAGCACAATGTATAAACTGTGGTGCGCTGCAGGTGTTGGCGGCCACAGAGTTAATAGTACACTAGCTCATGCGAAGGTGTTTGACAGCCTTTGTCTGTGGCTTCACTCCTACCTCCCACAGTGGTGTGTTGAGCTGATGGATGACCACTTTCACCTGCTGACTGCGAGCAAAAGCTACAATAGCATCATTGCCAGCAAATGTACCAGGCTGGGAGAGGTTCGACACTAGGGAAGATAGTTTTTGATTATATTGTATATTATGGAAAACATTTATTTTTATATAATACTATAATTGTGATAAAATTAATATATGTGTAATTCAATTAAACACTAATCAATCAAAAATGCGTCTTGTTGTTGCAGGTAATTCTAACCACTAGAGGGCAGCAATCCCTGGTGTTTTTCATAGACCACCATACAATGGTGGGGTCATTAAAATAGTAAATCCTAAGTAATTTTCAAGGATTACATGTGTGAATTTAGCACTTTTTGCCTGCTGTTCCTTTCTTACTGTGCTGTGCAAATGGGACGTCATCCTCAACAAAAGGCTCAAAGTCTTGTCGATGAGACTTCATGTAATCGACGGTCTCCTGTCGAAGCCGCAGGTGATCGCCAGAGTGACCCTCTAACTGGTCGCCGAGAGCTCTGAACAGACAGTTCCTGCAGGAGACAAAGATGACCACATAAAACAGGTTCAGGGCCTCTGTGTTTGGTTTCTACAGTTAACAGGATGTTTAAATGAAAGCCTTAAACTCCGCTGCTGCCTTCATTAAAGCAGGCATTGGCAGGAATATCTCTGGTTTTGGCCAACAAGAGCATCAGTGCTGTAAAATGCAAGCTTCCTAAAACTATACACATTCTTCTGGTTACAAACTTTGTTTGTCTAAATACCACAAAAAAAATGCAATAAAAAGTTAAATTGGCTCATTTTTACTCACAAACAGTTGAACAAATAACACATTACCATTAAATATCCAAAGAAATTTTATTAAAAGACAAAGTTGTTACAATCTTAAGGGGATAGAAATATTTGTCAAACCAAAATTCAGAACTAGTCTGAAGGGAAGGTCTACCTCAATCCAAGAAGTTGGATTGTGGAATGGTCTAGAGAGTGATGTGAAAAATGCCAAGTCAATGTGTACATTTAAGAAAAAGATCAAAGCTGAATTGTTAAAAAATATATATATATGAAGTAGCTTAGTGTGTGTTTTGTATTAGAATTAGAAAAATTAGAAAGAGTTATTCATTTTGTTCTGTTACTTGAAGATTATTATGTCTGAAATAATTGTTTGAAAAAAGGGGCAGATATAATAAGATTTTTTCTTCTTTCTGCTGCCTTTCATTTTAAATCTTTTGTATCCTTTTTTATATTGTTTTGGAATTGTTTTGTACTTTTTTAAAATGAATAAACTATATACCATACCATACCATACCATAACAAAAAGAGAGTTTTGGTACTTTGCTGGTCTGGAACACTCAGATGCGTGTTCATACATTGAAAAAATTAATAAAGCATCAGTGAGCTTAAGAAAACAACTATTTCTGCCCATCTTAATAATAAAAAAAGAGTTTTAAGGCCATTCTAGAGTCCATCACTCAACAATGAGAAAGATGATTCACAAGTATAAAATATTCAAAAGGTTATAACAGTACAATCAGAAAAAACTGAAGAAATGCGGCTTTGCAAGAGCTGCAAGGATAACGTCTTTTTTCTGTAAAAAAAAAAAACATGTATGGCTTTGGTTTGCTAAATTATATTTGAACAAACTGAACGTTAGAACAATTTTCTGTGGAAAGATGAGACCAAAGTAGAGATGTTCTGCCATGATGCACAGCACCACATTTAATGAAACTAAACACAGCACTACAACACAAACAGCTTTTAAAGCCTTCAACCCTTAGAAATTATAGCAACATAGTAAAGTGAGTCAAAGCTTCTCTACAACAATATACAAGAGCAATAAGGTATTTAAAGAGATTACTTCAAGTTACAGCTGCAACATTTGGTTCTAGGAGCTACTGACTCACAGGATGTGGTGAAGTTTGGCTATTTTTTTTTTTATTATTATTATTAAAAAAAAACGTTTATTTATACAAGCCATTGAGTCACGAGGACTCATTTACAAGAGGGACCTGTTTTAGACAGACAACACATGGACAACAATAAACAACAATAAAATGCAATTAAAATAAATGTAGTGTTATAAAACAATAAGATCAAAGAGCCTTTTAAAACACAGTAAAATACTAAAAATGAACATATTTCCTTTGGATTTTTTATTGGTTTTCTCAACTGTTTAAAATCCCTTACAAAGAAATCAAGTGGACAGCTTCAGTTCCTGTTGCAAGGTGTTCCAGGTTACAGGAACAGAGTAAGAAAAGGCCTTTTTACCAAGTTCAGTCTGCACTGAGGGCACGCTGTAACTGCACTGATGATGTGACATGCAGGAGGAGATATACAAAAAAGCAGCAAACCAAGGAGTGATTTATAGATGAAGATGAACCAGTGTGAGAGCCTACATGTAGATAATGATGACCAGTGAGTACAGTGAGTGCAGTGATGGGTACAATAGTTACAACCAGTTATGAATCTTAGCGCACTGTGATAGACAGCATCCAACATCTGCAAGGAGCTGGCAGGGGCATGTAAATATCAGTAATGTCACCATAATCAATGGCCAGTAGGCAAGTAGTAGCTACAAGGCATTTCCTGGCATTCAGAGTTAAACAAGATCTATTTCTGAAAAAGAAACACAGTTTTAATTTCAGTTTCTTTATCAAGTTTTCAACATGTGGCTTAAAAGAGAGATGTGCATCAACTAAAACTTCCAGGTATTTGTAAAGAATCCACAAACTCAATAGGAACATTATGTGTGTATAAGATAGGAGGAAGAACTGCTGGTACCAACTTTCTATTTGAAAACATCCCCTTGATTTTATCAGCACTTAGCACCAGTTTGAGATGGAATATTAATCTGGCTGAATGATGTTAAATGCAGACTGTAAAAGCTGGAAAACCTTGGCAACTGCGTTAGCTCGACAATAAACAATTGTACTGTCGGCACAGAGATGTAAGAAGGCATCAGGAATGTTTGGACATACTTACATAAATTGTAAAGAGAGTGTGTCCTAAAACTGAGCCTTGTGGCACACCGTTATTCACAGTTAAATAACTAGAAGAGGTACCATTGTGTTGCCTTCAATATAGTGTGATCTGAGAAACCAATATCTGAGAGCTTATGGCATAAGATGTTGTGATCTACAGTATTGAAAGCTTTGGACAGGTCTAGATAAAGTGTGGCACAGTAATCCTTAGAATCCTGTGCTGCAACATCATTAAAAACCTTCAGCGAAGCAGTCATTGTGCCATGTTGTTTCCTGAAGCCAGATTGGTGGGAAGATAAAATGTTAAAATAATCTAAATACTTCTTGACTTGAGTATTTACCAGTTTTTCTAAAACCTTAGCTAAAATACAGAGTTTGGAAATTGGTCGATAATTGTTCAGTATAGTGGGGTCTCCTCCCTTCAATAACGGTAGAACAAAAGCTGTTTTGCAAGCATTTGGAACAGTATTTTGTTGTATGGACAGATTAAAAATGTATGATACCGGTTCTACTATAATGTGTGCAGCTAGACTTAAGACATAAGGAGGGGGGTCATCAGGGCCTGCAGATTTTCTAGAATCCAGGTCACTGACAGAGAACAGTGAAAATGAGAATGTGTGGTTTACTGAGGTTTGACTTGTAGGAGAGGTAGGTGATTTTCCACTAGTAACTGTGTCAGACAAGGAACTGAAGGCAACAAAATGTCTATTGAAACAATTTAGCATCTCATGCTTATTTGACACAGGAACAGAGTCAACAAATACTTGTGGTGGTAGATCAGATGAGAGCTGCTAGAAAGGGATTTGATGGTTTTGCAGAATCTTTTAGGGTCATTCAGATCTTTGGTGGTTGAGATAATAGTAATTACGTTTTGCAGCTTTAATGGAAGATGTACAGTGAG